TACCAGCCCAATTCAAGCACTGGTCTTTTCAATGAACCTATGGAAGTGTCTCAGTTTGGATTTGATTAGGGCGAGGGCAAGATACGTTTTCCCATCATGGAGGGAAACTCTTCAGACATTCAAAGCACGAGACCTGATCTGTTACAAGCAATGTGTTTTTAATATGGTGCTTTACTCAAAGTTGTAATCGTTTTTAAGCAACTTGTACGTGTTTTGCAGAGTGTAGCAGTGCTCATAACCAGCCGAGCAACCCGGGAAACTGGCTATGGACATTTGTTCACTTTCTTCTAGCTTTTATTATTCTTTATAACATCTGTTTTTGTGTTTAATCCATAGAGCCGAGTATGAGCGTTTCCCCTCCTGGATGGAGCCAGGAGGATCTATTACTCTGTTAAAGAAAGCCTGGATTTTAACCTTCTTTTAATGTTAGCCTATATTGAATTGGTGTTGGAGCTGGCAACTATTATGTTGCGTTTTTTTTTTTTTAAAGACTACTGTCCTCTAGTGCTTTTTAGTTTTAGTTTCTGTCAATAGTTTTCTTGTGTGCAGATTGTGGGCAATATAATTGACTAAGTGTTTGTGTTACAGGTTCCTCTTCTCTCCCTCTGGGGGAACTTTGTCTGCTTTCAGTGTAGGTCTTACAGCCACATCGTGTTTCATGGCGAGTGGTCTGTCGCCATGGCAACGGCATTTGATGACACCCCATACTACGCTTAGATGCGTTGATGGCTGCATCGTTACCAAACCTGTGAAGTTTTGGGCTGTTAGGAGTATTTTCACTGAAGTTAAGAGAAAACCATGTTTCAAGGCGAGCATTGTGTTGCCGGCCGAGGCTATATACAGGACGGTCCTGTACACAACGCCAAATGGCTATATGACCGTCCTGTACACAGCTCTCTGAAATGGCTATATACAGGACGGTCCTGCACAGAAGCCCTGAAATGGCTATATAGCCTACAGGACGGTCCTGTATATAAGGTCTCTGAAATGGCTATACAGGACGGTCCTGTATATAAGGTCTCTGAAATGGCTATATACAGGACCGTCCTGTATACAAGCTCCGAAATGGCTATATACAGGACCGTCCTGTATATAGCCATTTCAGAGAGCTGTTTACAGGACGGTCCTGTATATAGCCATTTCAGAGGGTTGTGTACAGGACGGTCCTGTATATAGCCATTTCAGAGGTTGTGTACAGGACGGTCCTGTATATAGTCACAGGACGGTCCTGTATATAGCCACTCCCTTGTGTTGCCATGGCAACGGCATTTGAAGAAATCTCAAAACTGTACCGTAGATGTCTTCAGGGCTGGACTGTTGGCACACTGCTATCTGAAGTCTTTCGCTCTGAAATCAAATGTTGGCAGTGCTAAACATTGCCAGACCAAAACAAATGTTCTTTACAATCTCCAGAAGACGTTGGTCGGGAGGGATAATGGTCTGTTTTTAAAACGCTTCCTATCACGTGAAGACCAAGCTGCCCGTCACACTAAAGCTTTGTAAACATTTCATTGAGACACCACATAATAATTCCCAGCTTGTGCAAAATGAAGATGAACATTAGGCAAAACAGACCATAAGCTTGTGTGGATATATCGTATAAAACATAATGTATTCATTTCAGGCAGGGAGACTTGTTGCTTTGTGTCTCGTGTTTCTTTTCATTCTCAACTGATCGTCGCACTGACTTGCTCCTCTGCTGCCCTCCAGTGGCCACAAGGCACAACAGGTACTTTTACATTACAGCATGTAGCTCCAAACTACACAAGTATTTCCTTCTGAAAATGCACTTTACTAAAGCTCTAAACATGGCACTTGAACGCAAATATAAACTATATACAATACAATCAGGAAGATAGTACAATACGAATGCTCTGATAAGAGTGAGCAGAGATGTGTTTTGATGTGTGGGCATAATGTACAGGGGAATAGTCAAATGACTGCCACAAGGCCTTTCTATGACACTGAATAGGAACAGACCGCAGCTCTGATTTTGCTGACCAACAATTGCTGAATAGTAGGGGTGTAACGGTACACGTACCCGTACCGAAATTATTCGGTACGGGCCCTTCGGTTCGGTACAGGTGTGTACCGAAGTGTACCGAACGAATATAACGTTAAACGTAAAAAAATTCAGAACGTGAACAACTTTTTGGAAGTAATCTCAGGTGCTGCGTCGCAGCATTCAGAGTAATTTGGTCACATTGGGTTCAACGCGTCATAGAGCGAGCAAGTCATTTCATTGGATGAGAGGCATACTATGAGAGCTGGTCAGAGGGATGCGTTCAAATGTAGTCAGTAATTTGAGGAACTGTCGAAAATTAATGGCGAACGCAGATAAAGTTGAGCTCGAAAATCCTCCAGCATCATTGAAGTTTCCGGTTTGGGAACATTTTGGTTCCGCAGTTACGTACAAGGATGAAGGACAAAGACAGGTGGACCGAACCAAAGCTGTTTGTCGGCATTGTTCAACTAAAATTGGTTACGCGGCTGGCAATACATCAAACTTGCACACTCTTGAAAAGGCATCACCCGAACGTGAATATCACCGGTACCAAAAGAAAAAAGACTGAAGTGCAAACCCAACTCCCGCTAGCATTTAAGCCTACACCACTCGCAGAGAGTTCAGACCGAGCCAAAGCTATTACAAACGCCATATATCCTTATGTTGCCATGTTAGCAAAGCGCTACCTGGCTGTATCTGCTACCTCTGTCCCTAGCGAGAGGGTGTTCTCCACAGCAGGAGACATTGTTAGTGCCAGCAGATCTGCCCTTTCGGCAAGCAATGTGGACAAGTTAATTTTTCTTTAAAAAAACATGAAAATACAATGACAAGCAAGTCATAATGTCAAACTGGCTGCTTAGGTACTAGTACAGTACAGTTCAAATACAGATTATTTCAGTTCATCGAAAAGCTGCACCTTAATGTTTATTTTATTATATTTTGTATTTATTTGAGTGAATATTCACAGTTTAATAATAATTAAAAACCCAAAACTAATAGTTTATATTTTGTGAGTACTAGTAGCCTACAGTAAAGTTCAAATACAGATTATTTCAGTTCATCGAAATGCTGCACCTTAATGTTTATTTTATTATATTTTGTATTTATTTGAGTGAATACATTATTCACAGTTTAATAATAATAAAAAAAAATATATATATATATGTTTTGTTCTGTGAAAAAAAATTCTGCTGTACCGAAAACGTACCGAACCGAACCGTGACTAAAAAACCGAGGTACGTACCGAACCGAAATGTTTGTGAACCGTTACACCCCTACTGAATAGGTTTAACAAAAATCATCTTTAAAATGAGATTATGTTTCTCAGAATAAAGAGAAATGATGTGCCTCGTGTAAAAAACCTCTGCAATCCAGACTGACTCTTTTGACTTTCTTAATGTTGCTCCAGCAAAGCCTTATACCCAGATGCTAAATGACTACTAAGCTACATTTGAAACATTCAGCACTTTTCTATGACTTAGAGGCTGCTGCACTGTCTGCTGTTCAGCAACACTTAAGGAGACTGGCTTCAAAGGGGAGATGTACTGTCAAAGTGTATGCATAATGCATTGTTTCCTTGTTAATAAAGTGAACCATTATGTTGCATATATCACAAACACAACAAGGACTTTCATTCACAGTAAGTGTACATCTGTGTCTTGTGGCCAAAGGCACGTTAACAGAGTAACGGGTGAACAGTGACCTGGTTCAATAAGATGTCATATGGCCGTTGGTCTGGACAGTCTTCATTTCCATCATCCTCGACATTGAGAAACACCCATGGTATACGTGTTTCGCCTAGGAGACTAAATGAAGGGGAAATTCGCCCTTCTGTTTGTTGTGAGCCGTGAAGGCGCTCGATGATTCTGTTATCGACTTGCTGCTACCAGTGAGATGTCGAGAAAGCAGGAGACCGGAAGTGAAAATCCTAAACAATAAAAGCTCACAATTCGCGAACCAACACAATACTACACTAAACAACTGAAATGAAAACGTGTTTTAAGAATAAAGTGATGGAGAAGCTAGGAAAATAATCGAATAATTGATTTAGTAAGGGAGTGATATTGAGACTGTACCACAGTGTGAATTAATCTGAATTTGACCTTAATTCAAGCTAGACTACTACTTGATTTATTTGGGGTAAACTGCACTTAATTCTTATGTGTTCTTGTTTTAAGATTGAGCCCCATTTCAACGGACGACTAAGGAATAACACATTTGCTAAATATCTAATTCCTCATGGACTTAAATTCCCTAAATATATATATATATAATATATATATATGTTGTGCTCATTTACGGTGCTTTAACAGGGCCTAAACGGTGTCTTTATTTCTTGTTTAACCCTTTTACGTGTTTGAGTATTTAAATATGCTAACACAATGTGTAATCTACTCTGGTATGCCACAAATAATTCAATGCTGAAAAAGTGGCTTTTATTTTTTAAAGAAAGGTAACCGTGTGTAGTATTTAAGTGCAGTTCCGGTTTTCCCGACAGATAAGATAAGATAAGATAAAGCTTTATTGTCTACCTTAGGAGAAATTTGTCTTGGGCATCGAGATAATACACATAAAACATTCAGGTCAATCAGTCATAGATACAGGAGGGCTTCAGGGGGCGCATAGCGCATTAACAGTAGAAAACACAATTAAAAAAAGGCAAATAAATTGATTTAAAGTGCAAGGGGGCTCCACGCCAGGCACAGGTACATTCCTACATCCCCACAATAGTGACACTGATGATTTAAAGTCTTTTCAGGGGGGAAAAGTGTGCTGAAAGAGTGCTAAATGTCTGATAACAGTCTGCTAAATGTCTGATAACAGTTTGGTAAAAGTCTGGTTGTTTCAGAGACCCATAGTAATGATACAATGAACCATTTACATCTAAAAGTATTGATTACAATTCATTTTTAGGGGAAAAAGTGCAGAGAGAAGCCTGAAAAAATGAAGTAACCGGATGTAGTATGTTGTGAGTTCCGCTAGCTTGACAGTTGGTCCGCGGCGGGTCGGTTGAGCTGCTCGGTGACATTAAGAGCATCACAAATAAACAGAAATAAACTCCCTGCTTGTTTGTTTTTCAACCGACACTCTTCTGTTTGGATTAAAGGGCTTTTAACGGACACTAACAGGTAAACAGTCTCATTATAATTTCGCGTTGTTTCTAAACTTTTGCTCGTTAGCTAACCCGGTTAGCCACCCAATGCTAGCAGCGAAGCTTGTTAGATGCTGTTAGTGTATTAAAAACATTAATGAAGAAGCTGTTTTGTTGTTTGTGAGATGACAAGGGACAGTTTGTGGTTTTATATCAACTGTTGGTATACTTAAGAACACATAAAACGTATAAGTGATGCGTTATATGTCTTTTATATGTCTGTAAAAGAGTAGACTGTTTGTATTATTCCTGGTATTTAATGTGATATAAAACAAAGCTACAAAATGACATGCTAATCATTGCATAGCAGACAAAAAGCTATGTTTCTCCTCTAACACTACAGTTTCTTAACTCAGATAATCTACTAATGTTTATTGTTATAACTACAAGAATCAGTATTTTATTCTTGTACAGTATTTATTTCACATGTGTGTAGTCTCCTCCTGCATTACTTTGTCACTTTCAACATTCCTTTGCACTCTTTTATTTCTTTTGTTTCTTCTTGCACTAATGTTATTGTTTTATGTCCTATATGTTGCATTGTTGAAGGAGACTAGGACTTCAGATGTTCATGACTAGACTGTAGCTGCGGTGCATTTCACAATAAACCCTTTGAGTTAGAGTTGAGGGTACCACTTTACAATAAGGTTATTTATAATTAGGTTATTAATTAGGTTGTAAACAATTTATGAATCATTAAGAACCATTTATAAATCAGTTCTAACATAGTTTTCATACATCAGCACAGGCTCACTATTTGGCAAGATGACTAAGCCTTACATTGGCTACATAGCTTACTTCATGTTCTTCATCAGCCAGCATCCTTGGTATCCGTTGTTCACTGAGTTGATTCCCCCCCTTCCATCTTGATGTTTCTTGGCATCACTTTATGACCATTTATTTATAATAATAATAAATGATTTTTATATAGCGCCTTTCAAGGGACCCAAGGTCGCTGTACATGGTGGACAAACAGACAATCAAAGGGCAAACAAAAAAGAAAGGAAGCCGGGGGACCAAGAAAGGGCTGGGGCCCGAAGGCCAGGGTGAACAGGTGTGTTTCTTTAATGATGATTTGAAGATGTCCAGGGAGGCAGCATTATGGATCTCGGCAGGAAGTGTATTCCAGAGGGTGGGGGCCGCAACACTGAACGCCCGTTCACCAACAGTTCGGAGGCGAGAGCGGGGGATGGAGAGCAGGCCCGTGTCTGAGGACCGCAGACTCCGGGAAGGGGTGTAGGGATGGAGGAGGTCCGATAAGTACTGGGGGGCGAGGGTATGGAGGGACTTGTACTGAATCCGGGACTTGACCGGCAGCCAGGGGAGGTGGATGAGGGTGGGGGTGATGTGTTGCCATGGCTTGGTGCGGGCAGAGTTCTGGACGTATTGGAGCCTGGCCAGGGTTTTGCTGGGAACCCCGGACAGGACTCCATTGCAGTAGTCCAGACGGGATGTGGTGAAGGCGTGTACGAGTGTTTCTGCCTCTGAGTCAGAGAGTGTAGTCCGGAGTCTGGCAATGTTTATGAGTCACTAACATTTATAACTGCCAAAAGGGAGCCTTATTGTAAAGTGGTACCGAGTTGAGTAATGTTATCCAACACCTGTCCTCTGTTGTTCCCAGACTCAGGGATCATTAGTGTGTTAACATGAGATGGGTGAGGCTGTGGCTCTGGTATGTAACTGAGTCTTATAAACATGGTGACAGGAACTTCATTCAACATTACATTTATAGTTATGTCTCTGTTTTTATATATTATAAAACTGCATATTTTGGATTGTTGTCGGTAGAACATCTTCTATCTTGATATAAGTCATTTCATTTCTCAATAATTACAAGGCAAAAGCATGTTTCCTGGTAATTCAATAAGCAAATAGGTAGAGCCGGTTGTTGTATACTCCTGTGTAAAGTAATTAATGGCAAACGAAAAGTAATTTCTCAGTTAAAAAATAAAGTTAAAAGTTGTTAGTGACATTGTAGAGAAAATAAACTCCAGCTATTCACTGACTATGATTACATGCATGCATACAAATACAGAGTTATCAGGGTATGAGATGTTTTGAGCAATTCCGGTTGATATGTTGATTTTTGCCCATCCCAACCCTGGGATACACACACACACACACACACACACACACACACACACTGCAGTGGGATGCTTGTAGGCGTGGATGATGATGTGTTCTTCTTCTGCAGTATCGTCTCTGTTTGAATCAGAGTGTGTTCTTCTTTTGACAGACGGTTATTTTTAGATTCGTGTGTGTGTGTGTGTGTGTGTGTGTGTGTGTGTGTGTCGTGTGGGGACTCGTCTCCCTTATGGGGACAAATTGGAGGTCCCCATAAGGGGGAGTCATTAATTTTAGGGTCAAGACTTGGTTAGGTTTAGGGTTAGGCATGTGTTGGTTATGGTTAAGGTTAGGATAAGTCTCCAGGAAATGCATGTAAGTCAATGTAATGTCCCCTGAAGTGATGTATACATGGTATGTGTGTGTGTGTGTGTGTGTGTGTGTGTGTGGTGTGTGTGTGTGTGTGTGTGTGTGTGTGTGTGTGTGTGTGTGTGTGTGTGTGTGTGTGTGTGTGTGTATGGAGGAGACAGAGTTGTATCGTTGAATAATGTATGAGCTCTGCTCTGTCTCAGATATTCTCCCAGCGTCTCTTCTTCCGATCCGCTCTGTCAGTTCTCAATGGGACACAAAGACTCAACAGTTCTGCTGAAACACTCGAGTCTCTCAGCGGGTTTATTCGGTTCAGTGTTTGTCTTCAAGGTCGGGTTTTTTCCCACCGTACGACACGTTAAAAAACCTGGTTTTCAGACGCACATGAACACAGCACAGCGTGGAAGACGTACTGAACACTTAAAGGGGGAAATCCACCGAATTGTGGAAGTCAACTTTGATTTAAAAGTCACATTTAGTCAGTCTCTCGAAACCAGAATAATTTTGTGGGTCTTAAAGAGTTTGTCACGCCCGAGAGACATTATCTAAATGTGTCTTTGGCTCATCCAAAAAACAGTATAAGAGTTAATGACAGCAATCACAACACCTTTAAAATATATAATATACAATCGCGAAAATGGGCAGCAAATAAATGTATGGCTGCATATAAAGATTACTTTCATCTTTGATTAGTTTTCCTATTATTCCCTGCTGGACATTTGGTCTGAAAATTGTCCAAGTCATTAAATCCAAGTCCAAGGGGATGTATTCATATGTTTAGTTTTGGTCTGTCCACTGATGTTAAATAATACAACAGCCTTTCAGAAGCTGCTGTAAGGAATCAGTCTATTTATTCCCACTTCTCTTTGTGTCTGACAGGATGTCAGAGCAGGACAGAAGAGTTCACCCTCACTGAGAGGAGAGGAGGAGGAGGAGGAAGAGGAGGAGGAGGTTAATGATGGAGCGAGCTCACAGCCTCCTGCTGAACGAGGAGGCGTTCAGTCAGCTGGCCGAACATCAGAGGGCGGAGTTCATCTTTGAGTGGCTGAACCACCTGAAGAAGCTGCTTCCTGCCACCGACCGGGTGAGAACTGAGCGAGATCAGACTGATCATTTAATTAAAGGGGCCTTATTATGCTTTAAGGGGTTTTCCCTTTCCTGTAATGTGTTCTATAGGTTTGTTTGCATGTAAATGTTCTGCAACGGCTTTGTTTACTTCTGTAACATGATGACATCACTATGTAACACTCACGCTTCTATTGGCTGGCGCTCCAACACATTGTACATGATAGGCTAAGGGGCGGGACAATCACAACACAATAGAGACACTACATACTGATATACACCTGAACATCAGCAGGAGAGGACTCTTTAAAGTAGAGACACTACATGCTGATATACACCTGAACATCAGCAGGAGAGGACTCTTTAAAGTAGAGACACTACATACTGATATACACCTGAACATCAGCAGGAGAGGACTCTTTAAAGTAGAGACACTACATACTGATATACACCTGGACATCAGCAGGAGAGGACTCTTTAAAGTAGAGACACTACATATTGATATATACCTGAACATCAGCAGGAGAGGACTCTTTAAAGTAGAGACACTACATACTGATATACACCTGAACATCAGCAGGAGAGGACTCTTTAAAGTAGAGACACTACATACTGATATACACCTGAACATCAGCAGGAGAGGACTCTTTAAAGTAGAGACACTACATACTGATATACACCTGAACATCAGCAGGAGAGGACTCTTTAAAGTAGAGACACTACATGCTGATATACACCTGAACATCAGCAGGAGAGGACTCTTTAAAGTAGAGACACTAGATACTGATATACACCTGAACATCAGCAGGAGAGGACTCTTTAAAGTAGAGACACTACATACTGATATACAACCTGAACATCAGCAGGAGAGGACTCTTTAAAGTAGAGACACTACATACTGATATACACCTGAACATCAGCAGGAGAGGACTCTTTAAAGTAGAGACACTACATACTGATATACACCTGAACATCAGCAGGAGAGGACTCTTTAAAGTAGAGACACTACATACTGATATACACCTGAACATCAGCAGGAGAGACTCTTTAAAGTAGAGACACTACATACTGATATACACCTGAACATCAGCAGGAGAGGACTCTTTAAAGTAGAGACACTACATACTGATATACACCTGAATATCAGCAGGAGAGGACTCTTTAAGTAGAGACACTACATACTGATATACACCTGAACATCAGCAGGAGAGGACTCTTTAAAGTAGAGACACTACATACTGATATACACCTGAACATCAGCAGGAGAGGACTCTTTAAAGTAGAGACACTACACACTGATATACACCTGAACATCAGCAGGAGAGGACTCTTTAAAGTAGAGGACACTACATCTGATATACACCTGAACATCAGCAGGAGAGGACTCTTTAAAGTAGAGACACTACATGCTGATATACACCTGAACATCCAGCAGGAGAGGACTCTTTAAAGTAGAGACACTACACACTGATATACACCTGAACATCAGCAGGAGAGGACTCTTTAAAGTAGACACTACATACTGATATACACCTGAACATCAGCAGGAGAGGACTCTTTAAAGTAGAGACACTACATGCTGATATACACCTGAACATCAGCAGGAGAGGACTCTTTAAAGTAGAGACACTACATACTGATATACACCTGAACATCAGCAGGAGAGGACTCTTTAAGTAGAGACACTAGATCACTGATATACACCTGAACATCAGCAGGAGAGGACTCTTTAAAGTAGAGACACTACATACTGATATACACCTGAACATCAGCAGGAGAGGACTCTTTAAAGTAGAGACACTAGATACTGATATACACCTGAACATCAGCAGGAGAGGACCTCTTTAAAGTAGAGACACTACATTACTGATATACACCTGAACATCAGCAGGAGAGGACTCTTTAAAGTAGAGACACTACATACTGATATACACCTGAACATCAGCAGGAGAGGACTCTTTAAAGTAGAGACACTAGATACTGATATACACCTGAACATCAGCAGGAGAGGACTCTTTAAAGTAGAGACACTACATACTGATATACACCTGAACATCAGCAGGAGAGGACTCTTTAACGTAGAGGACACTACATACTGATATACACCTGAACATCAGCAGGAGAGGACTCTTTAAAGTAGAGACACTAGATACTGATATACACCTGAACACCAGCAGGAGAGGACTCTTTAAAGTAGAGACACTACATACTGATATACACCTGAACATCAGCAGGAGAGGACTCTTTAAGTAGAGACACTACACACTGATATACACCTGAACATCAGCAGGAGAGGACTCTTTAAAGTAGACTCACACATGATTTAAAGAGGTAAAAAACCTAAAAGAATATGTTTCTTCATTTCAGACCGACCTCAAACACAACCAGCGGCGTCTGCTCGACCAGCTCTCGGGCGTTCTGATTGGCTCTCCCGGCCCGCCGACCCGCTGGCTGCTGGCCCACTGCTTGGCCCTGCTTTACCGCCTGGGAGACCCCATTTCTGCCTGCCTGTTTGTGGACAGGTGCAATGACATCATACGCAGCAGAGACGACTCTCCGTCGGGACTCCCGACCCGACTGTAAGTCACGATGCGTTCATGGTACACAGAAAAGATGGGGGGGGGGAAATGTCAAACAAATAAAAGTTTTCTTTACATCAAGTTGAACAAGTGTGTGTGTGTGTGTGTGTGTGTTTCAGGGCAGCCATCGCGTGTCTCGGTGCTCTGTTTGAGCAGCTGGGTCGGATGCTGATCGGCACTTTTAAAGAAACTCTGACCAACCTGCTGAAGGCCATGAAGAACGCAGAGGTTCGTCTGCTGCTCAGCCTTAATTGTTACCTCCCTAGTTTTGTATATTTGTTCTTTAATTAAATTAAAAACCAGAGTATATGTGTGTTTCACTTTTCCACCCACAAGCTCTCATCTTCATGCACAGATGTTAAAAGTAGGGCTGTCAAGTTAACGCGTTAATAACAATTAACGCCACTAATTATTTTAACGCGATTAACGCATGTGTATTTTTTGTCCTCGGCCGCCCCGTAGTTTCAGAGCGCATCGAGTCTAAAATACCATCTACAAGCTGATGCTGACAGCCCCGCTCCTGCCGCCCGCTTGTGGCAGACCACACTTCCACGCTCACCGGCAGGCACCGACTGGCTGTTGGGAGGACCGGGAGGGTGTGTGTATGTGTGGCCCGAGCGAGAGAGAGAGAGACCTTATGTGCATTGTTGTTGTTAGCATCTGGTGCTAGCTAGCTGCGCTAACGGATACAAGGAGCTGTTTAAATGAAAACAGAGGAGCGACATTTCGCCACAACTGCGCCGAGCACTTGACTTTATGCAGGAAGCCAGACAGTGGGACATTGTACGAGAAGTCAGCACACTCAGCACGGATAGCGCAACATGATTGCAGCGTCCAGGCAGCTCCCATTCGAGCATATGCCTTGAGTTGCACATAGCTCCAACGATCCATCACACACACACACACACACACACACACACACACACACACACACATCACACACACACACACACACACACACACACACACACACACACACACACACACACAGGTTGTTGTGTTTAATATTCATGAGAATATTTGTCATTGTTCAAATGATAATAAACATTAGCATAAAGCATATTTGTCCACTCATATGTTGATAACAGTATTAAAAACTTGAAAAATATTCCTCTAAGGTGCATTTAGAACAGATCGAAAATGTGCGATTAATTTGCGATTAATCGCGATTAACTATTTTAATCGACTGACAGACCGAGTTAAAAGACTTTCAATGGGTTAAAGCACATAATCCCTCCCGCTAGGAATTAGAACATTGTACTGAATTTACCATGTGAGAAATTACAGTAGGAGTAATTCACCCTGCGCTCCTTTTTAAAATGATTATTTGTGTTTAGCTACACTGAGATTAGAAACATCTCTGAGTTATCAAATCATTTTCAGTGACAATAATATTGAATGTTTGATACGATGTTTTTGAGTGTATTCTGATCAGATGTCTGAAATGTTTAGCTGTGTATTGATTACATTAAAACACGTGTGGTGCAGTAACGTTCCTCCTCTTCCTCCCTCAGTCTCAGGGTCGGTATGAGATCATGTTGAGTTTGGAGAAGATCCTTCAGGGTCTGGGCGTCAGCGCCGTGCCGTGTCATCGTGACGTCTACAAGGCGGCGAGGACGTGTCTAACGGACCGATCCATGGCCGTACGCTGCGTCGCTGCAAAGGTAACAGCAATCAATATATACCGCTGATCGTCACATCGCTGCTGGTCATTATCTTCCAAATTCTCAATTTAGATTTGTGTTTATTGATCCCTTGATAAAATACATTTATTTTCAATTTATTGGATTATTATTATTTTAGTTTTTTCTTCACATGCAAAAAACTAAATGTTTTTGTAATTTTTTCTATTTATTATTTTATTATTATGAATATATTTTTCCTTTACGTACAAAAAAAACATTTGGTTTTGTAGGCATACGATAAGACATGTTTCTTTGTCTTGTTTTATTCATACTGTATGTAAAAGCACGAGTTTGTATTGTACAAACTAAATAAATAAGAAGTACACTCAGCTGTTTGTTTCTGTGATGCTAGAGCTCCAGACAGAGATGGCCAAAGTACACACTTCCTTTACTCAAGTAGAAGCACAGATACTCGTGTTTAAAACTACTCTGGTGAAAGTAGAAGTACTGACTAAACTTCTTTCCTCAAGTAAAAGTAAAGAGGCTTTGAAATGTACTTCAGTAAAAAGTACCCATAACTAGCAGCTACTTTAAAGAGTACCTGACCTCCCTTTATATTAATAGAACAATAATGTCATTGTTAGCTAATGAATGTTTCCATGCTGAACAACGGCAACATGACAACGTTTCCATTGGTCCCTCTTCTTTAGAGAAGACCAGGAAATGATGGATACACGGATCGTGTTCAAATCAATAGGCACGCAATGACTCTAAAGAATAATGATCACGGCATCAAACACACATTCAGACTAAAGGAACCAGCTGTTTGGGAAAATGAGAGAAGTAGAAAGTACAGGTATTTGTGTTCAACATGTAAGAAGTAGAAAGTACAGGTATTTGAGTTCAACATGTAAGAAGTAGAAAGTACAGGTATTTGAGTTCAACATGTAAGAAGTAGAAAGTACAGGTATTTGGGTTCAACATGTAAGAAGTAGAAAGTACAGGTATTTGAGTTCAACATGTAAGAAGTAGAAAGTACAGGTATTTGAGTTCAACATGTAAGAAGTAGAAAGTACAGGTATTTGGAGTTCAACATGTAGAAGTAGAAAGTACAGGTATTTGGGTTCAACATGTAAGAAGTAGAAAGTACAGGTATTTGAGTTCAACATGTAAGAAGTAGAAAGTACAGGTATTTGAGTTCAACATGTAAGAAGTAGAAAGTACAGGTATTTGAGTTCAACATGTAAGAAGTAGAAAGTACAGGTATTTGAGTTCAACATGTAAGAAGTAGAAAGTACAGGTATTTGAGTTCAACATGTAAGAAGTAGAAAGTCAGGTATTTGTGTTCAACATGTAAGAAGTAGAAAGTACAGGTATTTGAGTTCAACATGTAAGAAGTAGAAAGTACAGTATTTGAGTTCAACATGTAAGAAGTAGAAAGTACAGGTATTTGGGTTCAACATGTAAGAAGTAGAAAGTACAGGTATTTGAGTTCAACATGTAAGAAGTAGAAAGTACAGGTATTTGAGTTCAACATGTAAGAAGTAGAAAGTACAGGTATTTGAGTTCAACATGTAAGAAGTAGAAAGTACAGGTATTTGTGTTCAACATGTAAGAAGTAAAGTACAGGTATTTGAGTTCAACATGTAAGAAGTAGAAAGTACAGGTATTTGAGTTCAACATGTAAGAAGTAGAAAGTACAGGTATTTAGTTCAACATGTAAGAAGTAGAAGTACAGGTATTTTGGGTTCAACATGTAAGAAGTAGAAAGTACAGGTATTTGGTTCAACATGTAAGAAGTAGAAGTACAGGTATTTGAGTTCAAATGTAAGAAGTAGAAAGTACAGGTATTTGTGTTCAACATGTAAGAAGTAGAAAGTACAGGTATTTGAGTTCAACATGTAAGAAGTTAGAAAGTACAGGTATTTGTTTCAACATGTAAGAAGTAGAAAGTACAGTATTTGAGTTCAACATGTAAGAAGTAGAAAGTACAGGTATTTGAGTTCAACATGTAAGAAGTAAAAGTACAGGTATTTGTGTTCAACATGTAAGACAGTAGAAAGTACAGGTATTTGGTTCAACATGTAAGAAGTAGAAAGTACAGTATTTGAGTTCAACATGTAAGAAGTAGAAAGTACAGGTATTTGTGTTCAACATGTAAGAAGTAGAAAGTACGGTATTTGAGTTCAACATGTAAGAAGTAGAAAGTACAGGTATTTGTGTTCAACATGTAAGAAGTAGAAAGTACAGGTATTTGGGTTCAACATGTAAGAAGTAGAAAGTACAGGTATTTGTGTTCAACATGTAAGAAGTAGAAAGTACAGGTATTTAGTTAACATGTAAGAAGTAGAAAGTACAGGTATTTTGGGTTCAAATGTAAGAAG